GAACTTTGAATTTTTGTATTGTGATTATACCAAGTTCTAATATGTACTTTCATATTCAGTATAAATCATAATTTGAGTTTTAATCAGTTTTCTAATCTTGCATAAGCTTCGTGAAGTAGTTCTAAATTTAATAATTATTCTTCACAGAGTCTTTCTAATCTTGCAACAGTTTTGTGAGAAAGTTCTAAACTAAATAACTGACTCTCACAAATACTTTCTATTTCCGGTGCAATAAAATTCTGATCTTGTGTTTTTAAAAGTCAAATTTTAAAAAACTCAATTCACCCCTCTCTTGGATTATGCTATACATAAACGGGACCCACATTAACTTATAAATTTTTGAATTATCAACTCTAAAATCTAGCTATATTTATTTGAATTGAGCACATTAATTATTATATATAATCTCTACTCTAAATCTATCTACGTTCACTTCCCTATTTTTAAAGTCGGAAAGATCCTAATTATATTCACATAAACCTTTTACTGTTTCTTCTATCAAATCTTCTTCTAATTTAGTTTTTCCATGCAACACTCCTCCCAATTCGTTCATCTTACCCTATATACTCAAAATCTAATAATACTTACTTATTATTTCAATATAATAATTGCTCATGTGTTATTTAAAATTGGCATAATAAGAAAGTTATACAAATAAATTTTTCATTTAAGCATAATAATTGTTATTTCTTAATCCGTATAAAAATAGAAAGTAGACTATCTTTTCAAGACAGAGGGAGTATAATAAATTCGTTTTTTTATATACTAGTTAGACTTTTAAGGAAAAAATATCCGGGTGGTGCTTACTACGAACTAGGACATTATATTATTATATTAAAGTAAACTTTTTCATTTTTATTTTATTTTATTTTTATATTTATTTTGTAAAAATAAAATATTAGTAATTACTATGAAAAATGGTAATAAATTCTAATGTTAAATTAGTGTATTATAAGTGTCTAGTTTATTACGTCTCATCATGTATTAAAAAAAATCTTAACATTTTAATAGTTTATTTTTTTGTTATTAAATAAAATATTTTAAAAGGAAGAAAATATTAAAATTTAACTTAGAGATGATAATTTATTAAAAATTAAAATTGAATCTCAATATGACATTAAATTATAAATAAAATTGTTTATTTAATTATATTTAACTTTAACATGGAAAGTTCTTTATAATTTAATAAAAAAATTTTATATATTTGTAATTCTACAATCATAGCTACATTATTGTTATTATTGTTATTTTGTTATAAAATTTTCCATCAATATGCTTTTAATTTGATAAATAATTATATAAATAAAAAATGAAAAATAATTTTTTTATTTCTAAAGTGGCATGATTTATGGTATAGCCAACATACTCTTTTAATATTAGATACATTTTACTTAATTTTTTATAAATAATTACAAATCAAAAGTCAAAAAATCATATTTAAAAGTGAAAAATCTGGTTGAACCGAGTCAACCTGGTCCAAGCACGACCCACTGATAAGGCCGGTTCGATGCCCAATCCAATTTTAAAACATAGGTAATCCTCTTAAGAACCTGCCATTTTTTGTCTGTGTTTCAAGATTATGCTTCTTAGAAATTGAAAAGTTAATTTTGGTCGTCTTAGAAGCTCGTAAAACTGCTGATATGGTAGGGGCAGTTTTAATGAATAGACAGGCCTGATTTACGTACTGACTTTATTGTGGATTTTCATTCATTGTAAGTTGGGATATAAAAAAATGAAGTTTTTAGATCAGTAGAAAAACTGGCCTCTGCACTGGCAAATTGATCAAAATTCTTCTCTTGAACATCATTATAGTGCTTTATTCCAGCGACAGGATCGAGAGGAGAGGTTATGATAGAAAATCTCTACCGAGTGAAACTTTGAGAAGTAGAGGGGAGGAGGATGATTTAGTTGGTGGAGCTCTTAAAAAAGTGACGTTTGAAGTTCTGGTTGTGGGGATAAACTGGTGATGGTGATGGTGGAGGATGAGGAGGAGGTAGTGAAGAAGGTAAGGGCTGAGAGGTAGGGAGAGAAGTAGACATGGCCAAAATCCGGTTTTTGGAACCAGAACCATCAATTCTGAATCGGTGGGAACCGGAACCAGCTTCGACCGGTTTCAAATGGAACCGTGAATCGACGGTTCTAGCTCCTGTCGGAATCGATGGTTCTAGTTCCGTCTGAAACCGGTCGGAACCGTCCAAAACTGACCGGAACCATTCGAAACCGGTCGGAAAACAGGCCGGAGAACCGACCGAAACCGTCGATTTTAGAACCGTTGAGGAACCAAAATCGAAACCAGAACTGTTCGGTTCCAAACAGTAATCGGAACCGTAAATTTTTGATTTGATTCTGGAACCGTGGCCGCCTCTAGTGAGAATGGGTTAGGTTAGATCTAAACGCACTGTTTAGTTAACTCTTGTGTAAGGCATGGATCCCACCAATTCATTATTTTTTTTTAATTCAAATTTTAAATTGCAATGCAATTACAATATAAATTTGAAATTGAAATGCCCAAATGATAAGTTGAAAATATGGTACAACAGTTATAACTCGCAAAATTCAGAATATTTTAGATGTTACTTGCAGATTGATGTATGTATGTTAATGGCTTACCAAATTAATTTTAAAAATATAATTAAGTATTAACTATTATAATTCACTAAATTGAAGTCTTAAACTAATTCACTCAATAAGAGGAAAATAAAATAAATAAATAAATAACAGAGGGCATTGGATAACAACTTATTATTACATTTCGGATTGCTCCACTTTTCCACGTCTCGTGGAACGTGTACCTCTCCCTTTTTCTTTTTTCATTAAAATTTTCTTTTCTTTCTCTTTTCTCCGTTTAAACACAAAAATTAAGTATGTAGATATGAAGAGGAGCTTATTATTGTCTCTCATGATAAGCCCTCCATCTTATTTATAGTTTTGTTGCAAAGTTTTATATTTTTTTATTAAATAAATTACAGATCTATGTCTATTTGATATATATTTATATTTTGTATATCTGTGCTATTTTTGTAGTTTATCTCTATCTTGTGTGGAATTTATGAATCTCTCCATTTTATGTGGAGTATTGGTTTTATTTTTTACATTTGTTTTGTTTCATTTGGACAAATGTGTAATTTGTGGAGAATTTTTTAGATACATGATGATCTTTATCTTTGGAGCCTGGTAATGCGACCTGTTCCTCCATTGGATTTAGTAGTTCAAATCCTCTTTGTTCGTTATAAGCAATTAGTTTATGAATAATTAAGCCATATACAGAAGGTTCATGGAGTTTATATAGCTAGCCACTTTAAAAATCTATTAATTTTTTCAAGTTCGTCTCCCAATTTTCATTAGAATTTCTTATTAGATCACCGAACAATAATTATTTTAGTTATAATAATTTTATTTTAGATCAGCGACCTGTTCCTCCTATATTATTTGTATTGATTTGAAAATTTTAATGAAATTCTAATATTATATTAAAAAAAAATCCAATTCATCAATTAATTTGCTACTATTTAAATTTAGTATTTATTTTTTTATCTATCAAATAGGTAAAAGTACAAATAAAACTTGATTGGAAGTTGTTATGTAGTGATAATCTGTAAGTATGACAACGGATCAAACTATTTAATAAATTGAAAATATTCTCCATGTCTCAAAAAAAAGAAGGGATTTAAAATTTGTAAAATATTCGATACTTCTATTAATTTATATACAGAGTAAAATTGAGCGTGATACGTATTGAAGTCTATCAACTTTAAGGAATGATTGCCTACTTGAACTCCTAACTAATGAACTATTGAAAATTAATTGACAAGCAAAAATAAGAACTATAAAAAGCTTTGAAAAATAAAAAAGATCGCTTGAAATTGAAATTGTTGTATTGATTATTTTCATTCAAAGTTTTCTCCACCATTTGCTAAGCTATATTATGGCATCAAAATTCAAATGGAAACGTCGTGACTGTATTATACTCTATTGATTTTTTTTTATTAGCAAAAAAAAAAAAGGAGAGAGAGCAAATTCATATTTCAGGCAGCCAATCGTAAGACCAATAACGGTTCTAGCCCATTTTGACATTGCACGCTTAGGCTTAGATATAGGCCCTGGTGGGGTAAAGTTAATATTGGAGAAACATATTATTAGTAACATTAACACTAATACTCTCTTGTTTGGTTTCAGAAATGGAATAGTTTATTTTATGAAATGAAACACTTATTCTCAACTCCTTCCAAAACTTTTGTTTTGTAGATTTTTTAAAAAATATCTATTCTTTTTAAAGCTATTATATGTTTAGAAATTTAACTAAATCATAAGTTTATAAATTTGTTATTCTACATAATAGTATCTATTCATTTCTTTTTAACTAAATCATAATAGTATCTTTTTAACATTTAAATTTGAACCAAAATGAATAGTATATATTCATGGAAATAGCTATTATATTTCTTTTCGGTTCTACATAACATGATGAATCAAACGAAACTTAAACAACTTCATTTTACTTGGAAATAGTAGTTAATAATATATAGTGTCAAAAGTTCAAGCATTTATTAAATTTCTTTTTTCTTTTGCATATTATTATTATTATTATTATTTTTGAATATATGGGAGGTTAATCCACAAATAACGTTATGAATTACACACAAGGATAACACTCCACTTTCGCTGCAAGAAAATATCAAAATAGCAACGGACTTTTCCGTTTCTAAAGCTTCAAAATCCGTTCCTAAATCAATTTAGTAACGGATTAGAAACCGAAATGGATCCGACACGCGAATATGATTCACCTAACCCGCAAGATAAACGGGTTAGGGTTGAGGTTAAATGGGTTCGTATCATAAATATATCACCTACTTATGACACGAATATAAACTGGTTGTATCACGGGTTGACACGTGGGTTAAGTGAGTGACCCATTTATTAAGGGTAAAAAAGTAATTTTATTGCTAGATACAAATACCCTAACTTTAAACCTAATTTTATGTAAATCACTCAAACCTATTCTCATCCTCTCCTGTGCTGCTCATCCCACATTCCCGCTTTGTCAATTTCATCAACATCAAGCCAAGATGATAAGGCAGCTGAATCTGCTATTGCCAACCATATGTTTGAGGTATTTATTATATAACTTCATATTATTTATTTCTTTTATGTAATTAAAAGCTTTTTATGCATTAATTAATATAATTTCATGTAAAAATTTGAAGGAATATGACTCTGTTGGTATGAATGATATTTTTCGACAAAAGAGTCAATTTGAGCTTTATCTTGATGAGACAAGGGTAGATAGTAGGGTTAAGATAGATGTATTATTATATTGGAAAGGAAACCAATTTAGCTATAGCTATTCCTATAACTATAGTTGCTTTTGAAAGTGTATTTATCAATAGTGGGAGAGTTCTTGATCAATATGGAAGTACACTTAAACCGGATGTGGTGGAAGCCTTGTTGTGTACTAGAGATTGACCATTTAGAGATCAAGGTATCTCATTCTTAAGTATCAATTTAAATGTTGAAATTTTCACTTTAGTTGCTTCAACTTTACTAATTAATTTTATCTTATTTGCTTTGTAGATGCAAATAAATTAGAGTTGGAAGAACTTACAAAATATGCTATGGAGCTTAATTTGGAGTCTATGGAATCACATAACTTAATTCATATTTGTCCTTCCTCCTCTAACTTTGTAGTTTAGATTATATTTATATATGTTTTATTTTAGAGTAATGCGAATGGTGGTTATTATTTAATTTGAGCTTACATATGTTTGAGGTATTTATATTAATAACTTCATATTATTTATTCTTTTATGTAATTAAAAGCTTTTTATGCATTAATTAATATAAATTTCTCATGTAAAAATTTGAAGGAATATGACTTCTTGTTGGTATGAATGATATTTTTTCGACAAAAAGAGTCAATTTGAGCTTTATCTTGATGAGGGACAAGGGTAGATAGTAGGGTTTAGATAGATGTATTATTATATTGGGAAAGGAAACCAATTTAGCTATAAGCTATTCCTATAAAACTATAGTTGCTTTTTGAAAGTTGTTTATTTATCAATAGTGGGGAGAGTTTCTTGATCAATATGGAAGTACACTTAACCGGATGTGGTGGAAGCCTTGTGTGTGTACTAGGATTGACCATTTAGAGATTCAAGGTATTCTCATTCTTAAGTATCAATTTAAATGTTGAAATTTTCAACTTTAGTTGCTTCAACTTTACTAATAATTTTATCTTATTTCTTTGTAGATGCAAATAAATTAGAGTTGGGAAAGAACTTACAAAAAATATGCTATTGGAGCTTAATTTTGGATCCGAGTCTATGGAATCACATAACTTAATTCCATATTTGGCTTAATTTGGAGTCTATGGAATCACATAACTTAATTCATATTTGTCCTTCCTCCTCTAACTTTGTAGTTTAGATTATATTTATATATGTTTTATTTTAGAGTAATGCGAATGGTGGTTATTATTTAATTTGAGCTTTCATATGTATTTGTGACCCATTTAAACTTTTTTGTTATATATATATTTTTTAATTTTTAGTTTTGAATCTTGAAAAAATTATGCATTTTATGTATGAAAATTTATGCATTTTATGTATGAAAATTTATTTTTAAATATGATTTGAATTAAATAGGTTAAAAATATCATAGGTAGGTTAGGTGAGTCGTGTACAGTTTAACACAACCCACCTAACATGTTTATGAGTTTAGACAGGTTACACGAGTCGTACACAGGTTAACACGACTCACTTAATCTTATCATAACATTAGGCGGATTATAAGTATTGTATTCATGTCACCTGCCTAATTTTCGTGTCGTGCTCGTGTTTACAAATTTGACACAATTATTAAATGGGTCGTGTTCGTGTTGATCCTAACCGTGTCGTGTGTAAGGCGAATTCGTGTCGAACACGACACGCCAATCCATTTTGATACCCCTATCTGTTCCTATAGTGACAATGTAATTTTTCGTTGCTACTATGCATTAAGTCCGTTGTTAATTTTCTACCTCATAAGGAACGAATTTCGTCAATGATTCGTTTCTAATTCCGTTGCTATGTATGTTTCTATATTTGCTTCTTAACGTTTATATTGTTGCTAATTTCGGTTTCTAACATCAAAGAAAAATATAATCAAAATTTTTACAGTTGTTAAATCTTTTCTAAGTTTGTGGTTGACGCACATATCTGTCTTTACCGTTTCTAAATTCATTAATATTCGTCTGTTTCTCATATATTCCATATTTGTGAATATTTTATTTCTATTTTCTTTGTAATTTTGTAATTTGTATATTTTTACATAAAATTAATTAGAAATCAAATAAAAAAAAAGTAACATAAAATTGGCAATATATGTAAAATATCAAAATAACGAAAGTTGTTACAAATAGAATTAATTGTATCTCATATTGTACTAATTAAACTTGTATCTGCTTAGTACAAAGCAACTAAAATCTACCTAGATAATATAAAAACTCTTAACTATTGATGTGAGTATTTGAAGAAGTCTGTGATATGGTGGAATCGTAGATGTCAAATGAGTATGAACAAGCTCTGCAACTTGCTGTTGTGACTGCTACTGCAATAAGTCTTTCCTTCATCAAATCAATAATTAAAATTCCAGAAACAAACAAAAATGCATCTTAGCGTTTGGGAAAGCTGAGCCTGGTTAACACATGGCTGTCGTTGGAATCCTGTTTAACCAGGGCTGTCATTGGATTTCTGTTCTTCATATGGTAATGTTATCTGTATACTCTCTAAGAGAAATCAAGCCTTTGTTCAGCTCCAGGAGGTTCAATTATAGGACTCATTTTTTGTTTTTGAATGTTCAAATGTCAGAACCTATATTTTTAGTTTGTGCTGTGTTATAGTTAATCTCTATCCTACCATTTCTCTATAATTATAATGCGTTGAGTAGAAGTGTGCAAAATCAAGCATTAAATACATAAATTGCATAATGTGAAATGAACAACCATTATCTTAATTAGTTTAGCAATATCTTCTTCAATAGTTCCCCTATCTCTCCTATAAGAATTATATATGCCTGAAATGCATAAAACCACCTCTTTTAGCATGATTAGTAGATAAAACAAACAGAAAGGAAAAGTGAAAAACAACCATTACCAAACAATAAGTAAAATAAATTTGTTTCACCTCTAAAAACAAGGGAATGTGCTGAAATAAAAGACCAGCAGGGTCATCAATGACAAACAGCACAATCAAGGTGGTCAAAAGCCAAAGGCACATTCAAAGCCATATGTTTCTCCATTGCACAAAAAAAAAAAAAAAAAGGTCTCCATTGCCACAAAAAAAAAAAAAAAAAAGTAATTAATAAAAAAAAAAAAAAAAAAAAGGTAATAATAATAGTACTAAACCAGTTACTTCAGTGAAGCAAAGAAAATTTTCTAAAATATATATTAAATAAAATAATATGTTAAAAAAAAAGTGGAATAACTGATATAAAGAACATGAAATCATCAAGTTTAATTTTAAGCCTTGATGCTGTATATTGTTTAATTTTAACAATATACATCAAAAAACAACTGAATAATGCAATTATCTAAAAAATTACTTGAAAAAAAAAATGTGAATAAGGCTGAATTTCTAGAATAGCCTACAAGTCAGCATCAAATTTATGGTCTCACTCGGGTAATAAAAATAAATTTGAAAAGGTAGGTGGTCTTATCTAGTGACGGAGCCATGATTTTTTCTTAGGGGGCGAAAATTCATCATTTCATATGATAAATGAAAAATAAACCAATTAAAAATAAACGTTTTTAAATTGTCATATGAGCATCAACATGATTAGCATTAGTATTTCATAAAACAAGAACTTGTTAAAACAACATCATAAAATTATTAATTTATTACTTATATATAGAATTTGTTTGATAATTTTATTTCGATTATTATTGAAAGAACTATTTCTTTAATTTTAAAATTTTATTTTTAAAAATATTTTTTAGATGATCGTAAATTTTAGTCAAGCAAATGAAATTATGAAAATACATCATAGACTCTCATAGTCTCATTTATAGTAAAAACAAAAAAAAAAAAAAAAAAAAAAAAAAAAAAAAAAATCAGCTTTGAATAAAAAAATTTGTCAATTTAATTTCATATTATTTTTAAAAATGTTAAATAGAATCATGAGTTATGAGGTTAAATTCATCTCCTTAATAGATTAAATATCATATGTTTTTTAAATAAATTTAGAATTTTAAAATTGTTTCAAGTTGTTATAAGTATTAATTAAATAATCGCCTTTCAAAAAAGTATTAATTAAATAATCAGTAATAAACAATTAAATTTATAAATTTATAATACTATTATATATTATAATATTTACATGAATTTTTGTGTATTCATGAAATGAAATCAAACTTAAAACTAAAATTAAATAAAATGTAAAAATTAAATAAATGATAAAAATAATTCAATGGCAACAAAACCATACCTTACCATATTTCTTCTCTCTTTAATATAAAGTGTTTACTCTATTTAATAGTATCTATCTATATTTATATCTTTATCTATATAAATATATAAAAACAGAAACTTGAAAGCTAACATGACATAAAATTAGAGTTTTAATGTGTTGACTTGGCATTTGACTAGACATTCTTTATATTTTTAATTTAATTAATTTTTTTATATTTATAATTTTGTTATAAATTTAATGCATTATGTTAAATAATATTTATTAAATAGTGGTTTCATAAGGAATTTCTACAGTTTTCCTTTTCAATGTTAAAGGTTTTATTGTTAAGAATCATAAGGAATTTCTACAGTTTTCCTTTTCAATGTTAAAGGTTTTATTGTTAAGAATCATAAGGAATTTCTACAGTTTTCCTTTTCAATGTTAAAGGTTTTATTGTTAAGAATCATAAGGAATTTCTACAGTTTTCCTTTTCAATGTTAAAGGTTTTATTGTTAAGAATCATCCTTTGCAACTTTGTGCTTTATATTTACCTTATTGCAGTTTCTTCCTATCATATTTGTTTTAATTTTTTAATTTAATTTAAATTATAAGATTTCAAATATAGGACACATATTTTATAACTTGCATTGCTTTAAAAATATTACAAACTTTTACTTAAATTTAGATTACATGTCTAAAATTTAGATTACATGTCAATCCAATCTAAAATAAAAAATATTTTATAAATTTAAATATATACAAATTAATTCCACCTTTCATCATTCAATCAAATTATCTAAGTGAATTATTCAAGTGACAAAAAAAAAAAAAAAAAAAAAAAAAAAAAAATTCAACATCTTCTTAATTCTCCATCAAAATTGATAATAATATTTCACAGTCCGCCGGCATGACACTCGGACTCACGACTAATATATATATATAATATATATATATTTTATATAGAAAATAGTAATTATACATGTAAATAAACTATATAGGTTCAAGCTATATATATAGAAAATAGTAATTTATACATAGCACCCAGAAAATTATTGATTTACCCAAAAGATATCCCAAATTAATAAGCAAAAAACACACACCATTAATTAGGAGAAAATAGAAACTGAAAGAAGTATTAATGGAGTATTATAATTTAAGGGCACTTGAATCCTTTTGGAACCTTCTTCCCACAATTGTTGAGGTACAAGCTCAAGTCAAGTGGAACATTTAGGTTTAGCCCCAACACATTAACTTTGATGGCAGTGCAAAGGCAAGCAGCAGCTTCAAGAGCAACAAGATTACCAAGAAGGCTACAGCAAGGTTGATTTGGAGGGATTTGAATAATCCCCCACACGTTGGCACATAGCTTCAGTTTTAGGGCATCAACAGGGCAAGTGCCAGTGGCAGCGGTTACCATATTGAAGAAGAGAAGGTTAAGGGAAATAAGCAAGGCGATGGAAGCTACAGCTCTTGAAGCCATTCTGGAATTTTTTTTTTTTTTTTTTTTTTTTTGAGATATAAATGAGCACGTTTTGTGTTTGTTTTAGGGCTGTTTTTTTTTTTTTTTTTTTTTTTTTTTTTGAGATATAAATGAGCTTTTGTTTTGTTTTTAGGGTGACGAGAAATGGTGAAGGGGTTAAAGGGTGTTTATAGTGGGAGATTAAGACTGAGTTAATATTAAACAAATCAAGGATGTGATCCATGTGGACATTATTCAGCAAAATAGCTGGAATATGCGGTGAATAATATAAACGACGGTTCTTTTTTTATTAAAAAAATCATTAGTAATTAATCTATCACGGGTGCACTTTGATGAAGTGCGTAGTCTATGGAGGCACCCAATAATTTTATTTATATAGTTTTTAATTATTATTAGTTGCTTGTGGAATTATTAGTGACAATTATTTTATTACAATATGAATCCCCTCTTATAATTATTTTATTATAATTATTTAGTCGGTCCTTGATAATAAGGTCCGGATGCCGATGATTTATAAAAAAAAAAAAATAGCATTTTCAATTTTGTAATTCTTTTTCTATTCTAGAAAACTTTTTTATCATAATAATTAGAGTTTAATTTCTTACTTCCTCGAACTCTTTTTATTTAAGTTGAAAATGATAAATTTAAAATAGTCGAAGAATTCAATTAGCTATGCATGATTAGATAATTAGTTTCTTCATAATTTTTTAAAATAAAGGGTATAACGTTTCGTTTTCTCGTCTATTAAGATATAAAAACATAGGACTGTATTTTACTAACTTATCCCATTTACTTTTTCTGTGGGAAGAAAAATATTATGCAAGAATTAAAGGTATAATTCGTTAAAAATTGAAGATAGAAGTATGAATTTTATAGATTGCCAAAAAGAATTTTGCGAGTAAAGAAATTATTAAAAATGAATATCCAGCATTGGACCACACTTAGCTCAATACATGTGGGCTACCCCATGATCTTCGGGGCAAAATAGCTGGGAAGATACAATTGAAAATAAAAAATTTCCTCCTACAAGAAAATTCTACAAACCGCCCCACCTCAACCACCCCCCCCCCCCCCAAAATTTGACATAAACCCGGACCCCAACCCTTCAACCCACCCTCCCCCCCCAATCACGCTCCCCGCCCTCTTTTCTCCAGTTAAAATTTTCTCATTGTCTCCACTTGAAAACAACACAAAAAATCAAACCATTTAGTTACATGTAAGGGTGATTCTTGTCTCTTATACCATAACCCCTCTCATATTTTAGTTATTGGTTGTTAAGATATTTCATATTTTTTTGGTTTAACATGACATCTATCAGATCTACGTCTTATTTTGGCTTATATTATGTTATTTATATTTTCTGCTATTATTTGTGTTTATCTCCATCATGTTGGAAGTTTATGGTCTCTCCAATTTTAAGGGCGAGTATTTTTTTTTTTCTTTTTTCATTTGTTGGTCTGCTTTTTATTTTGGACAGGTTATTTTTTTTTTTTTTTTTGCATTTGTTTGGTTTTTATTTGGACAGGTGTGCAATTTGTGTAGAATTTTTCAAGTACACGATAATCTTTATCTTTTGGAATCTAGTAGTGCGACCTGTTCCTCGATTGGATTTGGTGGTTCAAATCCTTTGTGTTCATCATAAGCAAGTATTTCATGGATAATTAGGTCATATATAGAATATTCGAAGAGTTTATCTAATCAACCACTTTTAAATATCTATCAGTTTTTTCAAGTTCACCTTTTAATTTTTATTAGGATTTCTTATTAGATCAGGGAACAATAATTACATAATAGTTTTTGTTCTATGTCTGGTCTTCAGGAGAGGGATTATGTCCTCCCTGTATTATTTGTGTTAAGCTCTCAGAAATTGACGGTATGGAGAATTTAGAATTAGTCCCTTCTAGGCTTAATTGAGAATATTTATATTGATAGTGAGATAATTATAGTTGAATAAGGATAGTAGAAATCCTAGTTTATCTATTCATTAGAGTTTATTTAGGAGTCTAATATCTTTTTATATTATTCTTTTATATATTTTATTATTGTATATTATCAGTAGCCCCCTTAGTTATTTGGTCATTTCTATCCAAAAGATGTTGTCATGTGTTGTATTATATGTGTATACTTTATTTTTTATACTATGATTACTAATTATTATAGATAATTTTTGAGCATGGAGTTCCTTGACTATTCTTGTTAGTTCAACAATGGTCCTGTTTGAGAGAAACGAGGTGATGGTTCGTCTGCCTAAAGAGAACCTCAAGAGTCACTTCCTTTTAGTTTATTTAATGAAGAACACTTTTATTCATCCTCTTCGTATGATCTTGAATGTTGGCGTAATTTCAATTTCTAAGTGTTTCTAATAAAGTGTTTTCTATTGGGACGGAATTGGTGTATGTCAATTGTCAAAGCAAGGTTCTGCTTATCATCCCTAAGTGTGAACTTGTTCAAGTTGCCTTAATTAGAAATTTTATGGGCTAAGAGGGGCGTTTTAACTGGAGGACTGCTTAAGTCCGAGCCGAACTGGAGGACTATTTAACTCTGAGCCGAACTACAGGACTGCTTAAGTCCGAGCCGAACTGGAGGACTGCTTAAGTCCGAGCCGAACAGGAGGATTGTTTAAGTCCAAGCTGGTAGACTGCTTAAGTCCGAGCTGGTGGACTGCTTCAAGTCCAAGTTGATGGATTGCTTAAGTTCGAACTGGAGGACTGAGTATGTCTGAACTGATGGACTTGGTTATGGACCCCTTAAGTCTGAACTGGAGAACTGAGTATGACCGAACTGATGGACTTAGTTATGGACCGCTTGAGTCTGAACTGGAGAACTGTGTATGTCTAAACTGATGGACTTAGTTATGGATCTCTTAAGTTCGAACTAGAGAATTGTGCATGTCTGAACTGATGGACTTAGCTATGGATCGCTTGAGTTCGAACTGGAGAGCTATGTATGTCCGAGCTGACAGACTTAGCTATGGATCGCTTGAGTTCAAACTGGAGAATTGTGCATGTCCGCACTGACGGACTTAGCTATGGACCTCTTGAGTTCGAACTCGAGAACTGTGTATGTCCGAGCTTACGGACTTAGCTATGGACCGCTTGAGCCTGAATTGACAGACTTAGTTATGGACCGCTTGAGTCCAAATTGGAGAACTGTGTATGTCCGAGCTAATGGACTTAACTATGGACCACTTGAGTCCGAACTAGAGAACTGTGTATGTCTGAGCTGACAGACTTAACTATGGACCGCTTGAGTCCGAACTAGAGAATTGTGTATGTCTGAATTGACAGAATTAGCTATGGACTGCTTAAGTCCAAACTGGAGAACTATGCATGTTCAAACTGATGGACTTAGCTATGGACCACTTAAGTTTGAACTGGAGAACTGAGTGTGTCTGAACTGATGGACTTAGCTATGGATTGCTTAAGTCCAAACTGGAGAATTGTGCATGTTCGAATTGATGGACTTAGTTATGAACCGATTAAGTTCGACCTAGAGAACTTAGTATGTCTGAACTGATGAACTTAGTTATAGATCGCTTAAGTCCGAACTAGAGAACTGTGTATGTCCGAATTGACGGACTTACTCATGGACCGCTTAAGTTCGTATTGGAGAACTGAGTATGTCCGACCTGACGGATTGAGTTTTGGGAGAAGTAAAAAGGAATGCTGAAAAATTTATAAGTAAGATCCTTCAGGAAAAACTTAATGCATCATGTCTTACTTACCCTTATAAGGCATGGTACTTTATAGTGAAAAAACCTGAGATCTCATTATTATTTAAATTTAAAGTTACTTTACACCTTATTAACTGGAAATACAAGATGCCCTCTTTAGATTGTTTGCATTTCATGTCCGGTCGACTCCATGAATTTTCTTGAGCTTGTATGTACTTCTATGGGTAGTTCGGCACCCAAGGTCATTGTAGATGCTCAAATTTTACCCTTAAAGGTTCAGCGATTATACACCAATTTTTATATAAAGTTGGATCGGGATTTTCGATTGCTCTGATTTTTGGACCAATGGTCCGTGGCTGAGATTATCTACGTATTTAACCATTTTTACTTTTTTGAGTCACCAGACGTTTCGCGATGAAACCGAGCCCGGTGAGTCGTTTAGTCCACCCAGTACTTTTCCCGATGCACCATCTCGTTTTTGCGTATCACCTAGTCCATTTTAGTAAAAGTGGGCCCGATCCTATTACGGGGCCAAACAGTGACATTTTTCCCACGTCAACCTTAAATGGGGCCACCTCACCCTCAAATGTCTATAAATATACATTGGGGGTGAGTTAAAGGGGGAATTTTTGATTGCTAAGAGAAACTCTTGCAAATTTTTCTCTCAAAACTCCTTTAACCTAAAATCTATAACAAGTCTTATTGATTTGGATTTAGAGAGAAAAGTTTTCTAAAAGAATCAGAGTAAGTTGCAATCAATCTTTCTAAAAACACACATCTAATCTTGGATTTGGGACTATTGGATCAAGAGGCAAGTTGCTTGGTTTTCTTCATCCAATTTTGAACTAATCTTTAAAAAAATCATCAAAGGTAGTTTCTGAGAACCCTATCTACATTTCTACACATTTTTTTTCTTTCTTTTGATGCTTTGAACACCTCTTGTGGGTCTGGTTAAGAGGAAAACCGAGGATCAACCAAAAAAAGGGCATCTGTGCCTCTATGGTGCACAGCCTGGGGTAGTGGCGCAAGCCATTGTGTGTGGCATGCGCCACAGGCCCGTGGCTTGCACCACATTAGCCCAGATGCTCTGTTTTTGATCTGTTCTTCATCTAGACCTTCCTGATCTGGGAAGGGCCTCGCGACACTCCATGGGGTGCATGCGAATTCTATGTGGCACACGCCATAGCCCCTGCGGCTCAAGGCCCTTCATTTCAGAGGCCCAGAATGTTAAAAACTCAATAAATTCCCCTTTCTCAGACATCCAGTGACCTAACTCCAATCCTAAAAGGTTTGGGATACATATTTGATCACAAACGGATCAAATAAA